CATCCCTAATTATATCAAGTGTATGTCCTATCAGGATGTAGTTCGTTTTCTACTCTGGGACTTTGGAGTTTGTTTCTGTCTTGTGAAGTTGCCTTAGTAAGATGAACAGAGGATACCTCAACACTGAGTCGTTAGAGCACTCTCCAGCCAGGAGGAAGATTTCAATCGCCTCTAACAATGGTGGAGTCTGAATTTAGGTCTCTCTCCTTCTGCTCTATCCTCAAGGCTATTTTAAAACCAGCAGCATGACCAGAGCCATAGCCTTAAAACAAAAGATGATTTGCACTCCATCTTGTAGGGAGTATGATCCTCTTGGCCTGTGTGCTGTGGGCTCTGTGTACTCACGCATGGTATATACAGGGATTTAACCTAGGAACTGATGTTTTCTGAATCCCTGATGGGTCTTAGCATGAGTTAAATGCAAAGATCCTTAGAGGTGTCAAGATCAGGGTAGTTCTGAGCACCTGCAGACATACAATGCTAGATGCCTGAGTAAGGTGGCAGTTGAATAAAGGTTGAGCTTTAAATGTACATTTTAAATTCTGTTGAAATCCTAACTTTAGGCACCAAAGTCCTTTTTTTTGGGTCAGCCCTGACACTAGTCTCCAATACAATAAAAAAGTCACGGTCACGTCATTAATCCTGAGCATAGTGCCCTGATTTCCCGAAGGACCAGGCATCTTTTGTATACTGTCGCTGTCATGTTATTTCCTTTCACCTCATAAATGATGTATTAAGCAGAATAGCAAAGTTGCACACTTTCCTCTACAGAAATTACACCCACAGCCATGCTGTCTTTCAGTCTGGTCTTGGTCTCTCCAAAGAAAACAGCCCCACGTGATCTCTGCTATCATCCAGAGTCTGAATCATGGATTGGCCTTCCCATTTACTCTCTTTGGAGATCTTATTCTCCCAGTTTTGGTCACAAAGTTTTCCTTTTGCAAACACAGCAACTGAATAAACATCCAAGCAAGGTAACTTTTTTTTTTTTTTTTTTTTTTTTGCTTTTACAACTTTTAACAGTTACTTTTTAATTAGCATTTCACTTTTAATTTGCTTTTGTAGCTGGAAATCAATGGAAGAAGCCAGCACATTGTGATCAGCCAGCCTTCCATGAAACATCAGCAAGTGCTTTTTGGACCGTGGTCTAAAAAATCTCTGGTCTAAGGTATCTGTATGAATCTAGGCACCAAATGTTCAGATAGAAGTACAAGGAAGCACATCTCCAAAGTCATGCAATTATTCTTCTGAGCCAATTAAAAAATACAGTTCATCTTCAGTATTGCTAATACTTCTTCCCAACTGGCCTGCCAGAGTGATTCACTTCATTTCAAAAGCACAGATTCCAGAGGTGGTTACACCTTCACTCTTCCGGGTTGGCCTCAAGCACAAAAGAAACAAGTGATTTTCCAAGGTCCTTCTGGTCAAGAATGACAACAGTTTCAAGTCCTTTAATTCCCTTTCTGGCAGCAGCACTGAATTGGAAGGCAAATTCAAGCCATTCAGTTGGTACTTGCAACATTCTTTTGTTAGATTGGAAAGCATTCGTGATTGTAACTTTTGCTTTTATGTCTGGAAAACTATGTCACTATATCTTAATGTCCTAAACAGAGACTAGCTTACAAACAGCACAATGAAATCATGATGTCTGCCATTCATCATTTTCTTTTTTCTTGTGTCAAACCCACTGGTTTCTATCAAAAGATTTCCCAGTCTTGCAAATCTCCCACTGGTCTCTTTTGAATTACTACTACAGTCATTGCATAATTGTTATCTTCTTCCCCCAAAAAACTTTCCTCCCTTTGATGAAATCCAAACATATCATACAATCATACGGCATTCCAGGCTGTATAATTAAAAAAATGGAATCTGCCTTCTTTAAATGCCACTAAGGCTGATCTATCTTTCCTTAAAGATAGGCTGACAACAGGGAGATACAGTCTCAACAGGGTCCATCCTTGGTTTCTTGTGCAATTAAAATTTCTGCCGTGGCTAATGGATAGACAAAAGATGCATGACTCCCCCCAAAGCGAGAGTAAGCAAAAGGGTTTAAAATTTGGGTTGTGTAACATTAGGGGTTTAGCCTCTTAAAACATGTATTCAGGTGTTAAGACTGAGGGGTCTGTGTGTGTGTGTGCGCATGCACGCACGCCCGTGCATACATATATCACCTTGGCAATATATATGAAAGTTGTCAAGAAGCTCTCAGCAATAGCTATGGCCAGGATTGTGCAGAATTGCAGTTTGGGAGCAGAAGAGGTATATTTATGCTGAGTCACGGTTTGACAGTTTCTATTTCTCACTCATTTTTACTAATTTTATTTTTAAGAAAAGATTTTTATGTCTGTCTGTATAATCCTTATTTCCACTGTTGATTATTTCACAGTGCAGTGAAGCCCACAGATTTTAGCAGGAATACATTAATATTAAGTGTTCACCAACATAAGAAAATACTATGGAAATGGGAATGTAAAAGGCTAG